CCTCCCTATTGCTTCTCAGAAAAAAACACAGTTTCCTTCATAGGGGGGATCTGCTAGCTCCAATTGTAATTAGTGATCTCATCCAAGTGCAGTCATCCAAAGAATTCTGATTGCATTTCATGCTAGATAAAGAGGAATAGTTATGTCAAAGGAAGAAAGAAAGTTGACCATTTGGGTTTGATTAACCTTTATAGCAAGGAATACCAAACAGAAATGAATAGAGGTTGCATTTACGCAGTAGATGCAGAATCATTTGTTGGGATATAGTTCTTGAAGCAATTATATTTATTTTTTAAAAGCACAACTTTGTTCAAGAGGAGTACCAAATGGAATTATTGTCACACCATCTCAATGGCCATCTGCATCTGCTTCTTTCTTGAGATAGGTGCAACTGTGTTACTCAAGGCTAAGTGATTTAACCTTTGGAGTCTGTGATCTTGAACACACATTTAGAGGACAGGATTATAAGAGATTTGCTAATTGGATAGGTAACAAGGGAACTTTAAAGCTAAACTTTCAAGAAACCGAAAATATTAGAAGGAGTGGACAACACTGAATAAGTTTTGCCTAATACTTAGAAAGGCAGTTTAGATACTGGGAAAACTAGTTTCAAGCTTTTGTTCTGTTGCTAAGCACTTCCCTTTATGTTGTATTTTTTTCTGCTAGAATGACCTAGCTTAAAAAAAAAAACTGTAGCCAACAGCAAAGAGTTGTCCTAACTCCATATAAAATCTAGTTTGAAGTTCTGTTTGTTTTGTATTGGGCACTTCTGTTAACACGCAATTCAAGAGAGAATAATACATTCTCTCCATATATTGTGCTGTGTTCCTCATTTTCCCATTCTATAGAAAATTTCAGGGAAATTTTATAGGGTTTTCATTGTTTGGTGGAAAGTATACTTCAGAATGTTTTATATTGTCTATTGATTTACAAAAGTATAGATTGAAAAGATTGTGAAGAATAAATAAATGTAGGCAGGCCATGTTAGCTCAAAGCAGCAATGGCGTCCCAACTCCCTAGTGATCTAGTTCCCTCAGATTTAATAAGCAGCCTGTGCCCATTAGAAACCACATCCAGTTTCTCTAGAAATGTCCTACTCTCTCTACCCCAGAACTGCCTCTAATAAAATTTAACATACATAAATTGTTCCTTTTATTACACTTTTAACTACAAGACATCCAAACCTTTTCTCCATCTAGACTCACTTTCACTTATTTAGTATAACAGAAGAATTTGTCTGCAGCATTCTGTTTTAGGCAGCCCATAGTAAATAGACGATAGTAAATCATAATTACCACATATAGAAAATACAGTAAATAATCAAATTAATAACAGAGTTGTATAATACAGCAAAGTGGTTAATGTTCATTAATGTCATGATAGACATTTACCACAAAATCCCAAATCAATCCCAAATTTGAATTCAGATTTTTAATCCAACTGTTATTGTGAAAATATTTTAGGGTAATTTTTTAGCTAGGCAATTCACAACCTGTAAAATAAAAACAGGACTGTTATCTAGATGAAAGGAATATATTTGGAAATGTTCTAGGGAATTAGGCTATATGAACTTATTTTCCTATTAAAACATTTTGTCAAGTTCCAGTATATGTCAAACGTGCATTGGAAAAAGTTAGCATTATTTACAGATGGCATTAAGGTCATGACAAGCTTGATTTTATCTAAATAAGACACATTTCATAAGTGTAGATATTTAGTTCACAATATTGAAGCGTTCTCGAGGAGAAATTTACAGAAAGAATTATCCATAATTTCTTGAAGCTTGGGTGGTCAAAGGAGGTATAACATACCAGTTGCTGGGGAACAGATGAAATCTAACACCTTGGGCCTAGTTATGAATTCCTTGGAGTTTTCTGATACTGTGAAGAACAGGCTGCTGAATTAACTGGACTGGCCCAGCAAAGCCTTCACTTCACTAATTGTATATTAAACTTCTGGACCCAAAGAAATCAAAATTTGCAAATGATTTTTAATTTAAAAATAGTAATTGAAAATGTGTATATTTTCAAGATTTTGAACTGGAATTCATATTTAAATAGGGTCAGTGCTCAAATGTTTTGATAATAGATCTAATTTAGAGTTCCATGTCAGATCTCTGCTCAGATACTGAAAGAATTATGCAATCATGTTTTGAGATGTATTATTTGCAACAGAATTGTTGCTGTTGTTATGATATACTCAGGGTTTGTAACAATGCTTATGCAAGAGGCCTGGCTCCCTTTGTCCAGGCTGAGAAGCTAAGTGGAGTGATGCCTACTACTTACCTACTAATACCTTGTTAGTATTGGATGAAAGACCTCCATGGCATATCAGGGGTGTAGGCTGGATTGGGAGGTCAAAAACACCCCAGAAGAAGAGAGTGGCAAACCTCTTGCATATAGTCGCCAAGAAAACTGCACGCAGGTGTCCATGAAGTTCGCCAGGAATTAGACTTGGCTTAAAGGAATCTTTTTGTAACAACGTGTGATGTATTGTCGTGTCAGCTTTAGTTAAAAATACATACATACATAAATGCTGATTGCATTATTCCCCATTGGGGTAAACAACGTTATGGAAAGGGGGTAAGAAACAGTAAGCCCCAAAATTTAAAGGCAGAAGATAGGAAAAGGAAACTGGATAATTAAATCCAGTTTACACCACACCATTCACTATATCTCTCTCCATACCTTCTATCCTATTCTACCATATTCTATAGCAGTGTTTCTCAACCTTGGCAACTTTAAGATGTGTGGACTTCAACTCCCATGCTGGCTGGGGAATCCTGGGAGTTGAAGTCCACACATCTTAAAGTTGCTAAGGTTGAGAAACACTGTTCTATAGTATTATTATTATTATATTTATATGCCACTTGACTCCAGTGACTCTGGGCAGTTTACAAATTGTTGAAACATTAAAAACAAGAAAGCAACAAAAAATAAAGAGGAAAGATGGCAAAAATGACAAAACCGAATCAGAACAAAGAAAACAATGCACACAATTTAAAGGGGTCTCACTCTCCCTCACCAAAGGGCTGGGTAAGGAGCCACCTCTTCAGGGCTTTTTGAAATAACAGCGGGGGGGGGGGGGGTCATTTGAATCTCGGGAAGAACCTCATTCCAGAGGGCAGGCACTGCTACTGAGAAAGCAGGTTTCTGGGGTCCCAATAGACGACATTGTTTAATCAAAGGAACCAGGAACATATCAACACTGCAGTATCGAATTGACCAGGCAGATACTGTGGGAGACAGGTGGTCCCTCAAATAACCTATGTAGAGCTTTATAGGTAACAGCCAGCACCTTGAATTGCACCCAGAACCAAACTGTCAACCAGTGCAGTTGGTGAAGCAGAGGTGTTGCACGGGCATACTGAGGCATGCCCATAACTGCCCCTGCATTCTGGACCAGTTGAAGCATCTGGGTGACCTTCAAGGGCAGCCCATGTACAGCACATTGCAGTAGTCAAGCCATGAGATTACTACTACTCTTTCTTTTTGAGGATCTCATCAGACCACCTTCATTCAGATCTATTTTATTGTCTTCCTCTAACTTTCACAGAGACATAATGTATGTATTTATCTTCTATTTCATTAATTAATTAATTAATACTTTTGAGTACTTATTCCTCTTACATTCCAAGTCTCAATCCTTCATATGCTATGGTCATCAGCAGATGGGCCCACTGATATTGTGACCTATCAAAAAATCTCAATTTTAAGCTTATAAAATTGACTTAATCTCTAGTAAATGAGATCTGTAATGTGACCATGTTAATTTGGAAGCAATTCTATGTAATCGTTCAGAAAGGTTTATTCCCAAATGACTGCACTAAATTTCACCTTTAATGTCAATGGTAGGAATGTATGAAATTATATTATGATCTATGCATTAGTAAAAATGTGTGAACATTCAATATAAATTCTTGAAATAGAATGTTTTCTTGGACAGCCACTATTCTTCTGTATCCTCTTGCTCAACTTTTTTGGACACCTCGGGGTGGGGTGGGGATCTGTGTGAAAAGCTTGAAACTGTATGCTGACTAGGAAGAGACTCTGAGCAGCCAGCTCTGCCTAATTCTTCATCCTGGTCTCTGGGACAGTGTAGTATACAGAGTTGGTAAAGACAGAATGGCAATCTCCTCATTTGCACACTATTCACCTGATTTCTCCATCTGGGCAGGACAGTGGTGGCAATTATGCTTAGTGAATGAGGTTCTACCTTCTGTCCCACCTTACACAAAGGGATGAGTGACAGGAGGCAGCAAATCCATCAAATCCACTCAAACTTCACGCTGTGGCAAAGACAGAGCTGGGTGATGCTTCCCACCCACCTCTGGTTGGTTACTTGCCTTCAAGAGCACCCAGGCAGAGACGGAAGGGAAGAGAAAAGGAGAATGTGGCCTGCTCCCTCACCCTTATTGGCCCTGAGAAGTGGCTTAGGGAGAAAGGTGTTACCTCCTTACTTGCCCCCCCTTCCTTTGGGGGCTGGGGGGAGAGCACAGATGAATGAGAAAATTAAGTGGCTGCTCCTTTAGTGCCCTCCCAGAGAAAGCTTGTGAGTAGGCAGAAACAGCAAGTACTCTCTGCGAAGCCGCAGCGCTAGGAGCCCCTCTGCCCTGGTGGCCAGAGAGGAAAGCAAGTGGGGTCACTGAAGCCACTCCTGCCTCCTCCTCGGTTGCAGGTCCAGGGGTAAAGAAAGAGGTGACATCAGGATGAGGGTAGTGGCAAATCCCTCTTTTTTTCTTTTCCACCCTCAGCAGGAGATGAGAAAAGAGATGGACAGTTGTTATTTCTGACTGACTGCTTCTCCGTAGCCCAATTCATCGCTCTTCCTTCCGAATAAAAGTGGCCAAATGCAGCCCCCTCGCCCAGCACGCGTGCAGCATCAGGGGCAGAGAGGCTGGGTGTATCTTGTGAGCTATGGTTTTCGACGGGGATTGAGAGAGGGCTCTGTGCCTTTAAGAGCGCCCGTGGCAATGTTGTTACCACTGGAAGCTGGGAAGGTGCCGCCGTCGGGGAGAGGCGCTCGCGTCCTCGTGCCTGTTCGGGCGAAACGGGGGCAGGGCAGGCCCGCGCTCCCGATCGGAGATCAGGAAGAGCCGGGCGAGGAGGCGCGGGAGCTGGGATCCTCTCCTCTTTGTGGCTCCGAGAAGCAACATGGCGTTTCCCCAGGGCGCTTGGGCTCCTTCTCTGGGCAGGGTAGGAGACCGCTCTCCTCCCAGCGGAGTGGCGCCCTAGAAAGAGGCGAAGCTCTCCCAGCGATGTGAGTGCAAGCGCCGAGCTCCGGGCGAGAAAGCGGGTTGCGAAGCTCCGCTGTTCGTCGAGCCTAGCAAGTGGGTTTTGCTCCGGGATCCGGGCCACCTGTTACTCCGAGTGCAGCCTGAGCCTCTTGCAGCGAGCGAAGCTTTCTCCCGAAACGGCGCTGCTCCTCTGGCAGTTCGCTCTCGGAGAAAATGGAGCGCGACGGACTTTCCAGCGCGGACCAGAAGCTGATCCGGGAGAGCTGGCAGAAAGTGGGCGTCAGTCCTCTGGAGCACGGCATCGTCCTGTTCACCAGGTAGGGAAAGGCAGGTCGCCAGGCCGGAGGGCGCACGTGCGAGCGCCTCGAACGCCCGCAAGAGAGATGGGATTGTGGTCGCCGGTGGAGAAGCGTCAGGTCTGAGACTGGGCATTTTAAACATAGGAAGTAGTGGGGATATCCCCCTCCTCCAGCCATTAGGAGTCCTCCTCAGCAAACTTAACTCAAAGCTTCCCCCACCTTGGCGCCTTGGTTATCCTGTTCTTCCTGTTTCCTCTCTTTAATGCAAACTCCCTTCTCCTTATTCTGCCTTTCACGGCATCTGCTCCTGGTTCAGTACCCTCCAGATGTGCTGGATTACAGCTCCTATCATCGTCAGCTATTATAGTAAATCGCTGTGCTGTTTGTGCTGGCTGGAGAGGATGGGAGTTGGAAGGTAATGCACTGAGAAAGGCTGTTTTGGAGCACCACATGGGGCTTTGATAGCTGGGAAAAGGTTAGACACCAAGCTGCTCATCTCATCTCTTACCTAGCTGGGAGCAGGCTCCCTTTCCTCCTTTCCCCATTTTGATTCTTGAGAGCCTTACGTGCTCATTCAAATAACTCTCTAGTGCTTTATGGGAAGCGAGCAAAAAAAAAAAAAAAGTCTGGAAAAACAGTAACTGTTCTTCAGATCTCTCATGCATTTGTGCATTTATTCAAGAGCAGGATGCATGGTGGAGAACTCTGCCTGGCTAAATAGATATAAATGAGAGAAAATCTTATAGGGGTGAGAGAAATAAGGTCGCTGGTTTTAACCACTTTAGAGAAGAAGAGGCTTGATTTTCGTGCTGTGCATTCTTAAGCTGAGGAACTTACAAGCGCAAGATGTGGGGAGGCACCAGTTTGGACAGCTTTAAAAGTGCAATTGGCAAATTGGTGGAGGGCGTGAGCCTAGATTGCTATGCCCAGCATGAGAGGTGGATTGACTTTCAATCACAGTGGCTGGGCACCTGGGCAGGAGGATGCTGCTTCTCCCAGACTGCTTGTGAACTTCCCCTTGGCATCTGGCTGGCTGTGATGAAAATGGAACCTTCAACCAGGTGGGCCTTTGGACTCATCCAGCAGAGCTCTTGTTCTCTTACTTTGTTGATTGAAGAGATTCTAATACGATGGTCCTTGCATCCTTTGTAAAGAACAGTACTTTTGTTTTGGGATTGATTAAATGTAATAACAAATACCATTTTTAAAGCATTCTTTTTCCTGACTCTGGAAGAAGGATGATCTGCATTTAGTGCACAAGGCTTCCCTGCCCCTCTGTCCAGCAATTAGGTTTTTACAAGCCTTAGTTGTCTAGTTGCCCTACAAGGGAGCTTGTTTGGAAGTTGTTCGTGAATGAGCAAGAAAGCACCACACTTTCATCTCTTTCCTGCAGAAATAGCCGTGCAGAGTAGTGGGGGATTCTTAAAAACCTGCATGCTCAGTAAGAGGCATATCTGTGTGAGGGAGGAACATATGAGTATATCAATATCCATCAGTGGATGGCTGGGTTATGTGAAAATGGATATATGCAATGTTTGTTTTGTCCTCCAAAATCCATATTGAGTAATAGCCTTAGCGGGACACCCAAAAGGTATTGCAACCCAGATATTTATGGAAAAAGGTGTTGGTCTCTGACAAGAAGACCCAGGGTCAAATTTATCTTCAGCCATGGAAGCTAATTCTGTGGCTTTGAGCCAGTCACTGTCTAGCCCACCTCACAGGATTGCTGTTATGGTGGTGAAAAAATGGAGGAGGGAGTGCTGGTTATGCCATTTTTGCTCCTGGAGGAAAGGCAGGGAATAATGTAACAAGTAAATTGTGCAAAATATCAGTTTTAGATTTTTTTTTTGTGGATCAGTATAGAGATAATTTTAAAAAAAACATTTTATGTACGAAGTGGCATGGGCATCTGTGTGTTGTGTACAAAAGATTATAGAGTGCCTCTATTGATACTTTTAATGGAGCATTACTGGCATGTAGTCCCCTGGAATATTCTTTGAAAAAATAGGACCTTCAGAATACAACATTCCCTACCACTGAAATATGTGAAACTCACACTCCACTACAAGTTTATCATGTCCAGAACAGCTCCTTTAATAAACAGGCAGAAGAGAAACAGTTACTGAAATGTGAAATCTAAGCTGAGGGTGAAGAAGCAGTTCTGCAACTACTGTTTCTTTGTGTGATGGTTTGCGCTGGAGACTAAATTTGAGAAGTCTAGTATGGGGTATTGCACAATGCTAAATCCTAAGAAACACAGAAAGCATTTGGCATATAGAAATGCAACATGCTAATGAAGAAACCAGTAAGTCTTTCTGTAAATCACTCTTCTTCCTGAAACTGTTATTGCACTTTGGAATTAAAGGAGGGACAGTGTTGCCAGTTTAGAGGAGAGAATGCATAATCAAAAGAGCCAACTTCATCATAAGAAACAGGATGCTTCTGGACTTTGGAAACCGGTTCTGAAAGCAATTTCCTGACCTTGCTCACAGAAATGCATACAAGTTCAGAAGTTAGATACTTGCAATGTACATTTTTAGTTGCCAGTCAAGAGATTGTCATCAACTATTTCAGCCCTTCTGTGTTTTTGCATGCTGGGAAAAAATCTAATGATGATTGTACAAATAGCAGTACAATATGTTTTGGTAGTATTAGGAATCTTGGAAACACTCACGGAATCACAGTATCACAAGGAAATTGTATGTGAAACGAGGATTCATAGGATTAGATATTTTTTTTATAGGAAATCTGTTTTGGCTGAATAAGTTCTACAGAAGAATTGGCAACAAATTCCAGCTTGATTTAAATAATTATAATTGTATCATAATTTTATAATTACTCAATAATGTAATAATTCATTCTAGTGAAATTTTATTGTCAGTTTTCCTTAGGACATATAAATAGTATGATATGAGACATTAATTCAGTTTTTGTTCTTAGCTGACTGACTTACTATAGAAAACACTGGAAAACTTGGGAAAATAGCATAGGATGAAAACAGCAAAGAGCCTTGAAGAAACTTTTAATTAAATATTGCTTTATTCCATATTTTAGTTATATCAAAAAAGTAATTCCTAATAAATTAACCTCTCTGTCAAATGCCTTTTTAGGTAGAAATATTGGATAGAAATGTTTTAATGTTTTGCATCCTTGTTCAATATTATAAATCTATAAATTAAGAGGGTTTTTTTGCTTTTATGTGACTTCTGCTTTCTAATCCTTTTGTTTTCTTTGTTTTTACATTGCTTTTTTTTACTGCTGTTATATTTAAATAATTTTTTTAAAAAAGCAAAAAATAAAGAACTAACCAAAAGAACTGTATCAAAAGGCAATCAGTGGGAAAAAAGGAGTCAGTTATTGTGAAGGCATCAGGGGTTGCTTAAATATAAGGTAGATATAGATATAGATATATATATAACCCAAACCAGAATTTGATTTCTTATAAGCTACTAAAAATGGGCAAAATGTGTGCATATTGCCTGTAAATTGTACTGAGAATATATAGATGAAATATGAAGTATCTAAAACCGTGGAAATAGCTTACTTGTTAGTGATGTAAAAGCTGATGGAGATTATTTTAAATTATAAATTATTTAAAAACATAATAAATTTAAACTACATTGAGAATATATTATAAAGCTTGAAATATTCAAAATAATTAAGCTATTCCAATTGTTAGTGGTATAAGAGTTGATGGAGACAGTTACTGAAAAATACTAGTGAATTATTTTACACCTGAACTTCATAAAGCTGTTAAAAGTTCCACAGAGAGCAGAACTGGAGTAGCATTGATAAGTATTCTGTAGAGAGTATAATGTACACTTGATGTGTACAATTCTTAAAGCTTTAACTTGCATTTATCATTAAATGAGATTGACATAATCCAGTGATTACGAAGTGTATATATTTGGGTGGTCGAAAGTGCCTCTTTGCATTCCAAGGTAGTTATTTGCCAATTAAAAAACTCCTTACAAAAAAATTCAGTCTGGAATAAAAATCCAAATAGAACCCATTTCTGCCATGTCCTAGAATCTTGCCCACTGGAGACTGCAGTGAGTAAGCTTTTCTCCTTCTCTATCATGATTTCTCATGTTCCACATATCCACAATCTGAATGGTTAGAACTGGGCTTTGTTCATCAGTACGGTAAATAAATTCTTTAAAGGGTAGATTTCGTCTGCTTCATAGCTAACATTTTTAACTGCCAATACATATGTGGGATAATGGAAGTATGTTTTGCTGGTAAATGTTGCAAATGTGTATTAAAGGTATAAGTCAACCTACGCATCCTGGAAATCATGAGCAATAGCTTTTTTCCTACTTATGGATATCAAAATATATAGCATATTTATATATGGATTTCATTCTCTTTTGGTGGAAGCATTTTTCTAGCAAGGCTGTTGCAATATATAAAATTAAGTGACTTTCAGTTTCTAATCTCAAAGGATGGGGGTTGATTTTTGCTGGAAAATTCTTTTGTCTTAAATGGTGCTACATATATTTTTAAAAAAGAAAATGCCTTGTGTAACTTATGGAAAGGAATTGAACTCAAAGACAAAAACAAATAATGTTTTATAAGAAGAATTCAGAAATCTAAGATTCATATAAATCAATCGGGGTCATGGTGAAAAGCCATTGTTTTCTCAGATGCACCAGGATTTAATTTAAGCTAGGCTTTAGCAGAGGAACTCATTTTTAATTTCCCAGAGTATCTCTGGAGCATATTAAATATCAAAATCCTCCTGATCATATGCAAATGGCTCTTCTTTAGCATTAAATAGTACAATTGACTCATAGAAATCTTAGGTATCAAGGCATCTGGGACAGCGAAGGGGGAATTTTAAACAGTATTTTGTTTTAAACTGACTCTGTGCTTTTGAGTAAACACCCATAAGAACAAACTTTATAGACTTGATGGAATTCCGCATCAACAGCCAGCAAGAGAAATGCAGAGGGAATATGTTTCTGTGGCCTCTACTTTGGATTTGGGATTTTTCTTGTAAAGGATGGCTTCGGTAA